GTGTGCAGTGTGTATGTAGGTGTGCAGTGTGTATGTAGGTGTGCTGTAGGTGTGCAGTAGGTAGCCCATAGAAGCTTTGCTGCATCAAAACAAACTAAATCAGCAGAGTTTACCTTTTTTCTTTTGCACAAAGGCCGGTGTTTCATTTCTAGAACCAAACTATAATTATTTGAAGATACCAACAGATACATATTCTAAAAGAGTTAAGCAATTAATTAAATTTATTATTCAAAAATAACGAACTATAATTCTTCCAATGCAGTAATAGCGATTAAGAAATATTCAGAGTTGTTATAGGCCAAACAAAGCAAATTAATTAAAAACAATTTCCGGGAGCTGGAGAGATGGGTCAGTGGTTAGAGGCACCTGCTGTTCTTGCAGAGGACCCAAGTTTGATTCCCAGCGTCTACATGGTGGCTCATGGCATCCGTAACTCCAGTTCCAGGACCAGGACTCCAATGCTCTCTTTATCTCTGCATGGCACTGCATGCACCACTTACATGTAGGCAAAACATTCATTAAGTAAACGTGCCATTTTTAAAAATGTAATGATCTTTCTTTTATATGTACGAAAGTTTTGACTGCGCATGTACCACATGTGTGCTGCACCTTTTACCCGAGAAGTCAGAAGAGGGAATTGGCTCCTCTGCACCTAAAGTTCCAGGCAGTTCTGAGCCCTCCTGTGGGTGCAGGTCCTCTGCAAGAACCATAACAGTAGTCTTAGCCAGTGAGCCATCTCTCCAGCCCCAGGCCAAACAATTCTAACGGCAACTAGAAAGCTAATTTTTTTCTATTTCTTTTGAAATGCAGCAGGACTCACTTTTTTCCCTGGACACAACTACAGCTCCTGGGAACCATTACACTGGCAAAAGTGTTTATGTGGCTGGCTGGGCAGCACACTCACCTTCGATTGCTCCCTGTCTTCATTCAAACAGTGCTGCTGAGAAGGACACCCCAGCTCTGTTGGGGCCCTGTCACTTTCCACTCCGCTGGAGTTAGTGTAGAGTGCTAACGGGTTTAAATCTCTGAAGCCCTAGGATAAAGCATTTATTTATATAATAAGCTAGACACAGGGAACAGGCCAGCACTCCCCATGGCACGGATGCACATTTTCTAACATACGGTGACAATTTCCAACAGACACTCCCTAGTTACAGCAGCAGCAGAATATGAGAGATTATGTGACGAAATCGCAGCTGATTTCAAAATAAGAGAACGTTGTTCTTCTCTGGGAAAAACATTAAATACTTCAGATTGGGGGAGTAAATAGTTTATTCTAAATAAAAATAGTTTTCACTGGGAGATTAAAGAATAATTAGAAAAATATGAGTTATTTCTTGGTGGTGGTGATGACAGCCTGGTGTCAATAGTCACCTGAAAACGAGGAGGGTGCCCTGCATTAAGAAGTCAGGAATCTAAAGGACATCTCTAAGACTGAAGAGTAACTTGGTAACCTGCCCATAATACACTGTGGCATAATACACTGCCCTAAAGTGTAACATTTAAACAAAATATGTACTGTACCTTGGATGGGGCATTTTCTCGGCATACAATAGCATAGCCCTCTGTCCTCAAGACATGATGAAAGTAGATATCTTCATTTGAGGATGTATCACAAAGAAAAATATTAAGGATTCCATCTATATATTCATCTACCACCCCTACTAATGGCTTCAAACCACACAGCTTCTGAAAGTGCAAAATAGCTCTGGATGTCCAGTGTTCCTAAAATACAACAGATATATATTTATGTGGTAGATTTACACAAGTCACAGCAATCATAAACAAAAAATGAATTGCTAATGAACTAGAGTTTTAAGTGAAAAAAACAAAATCCTAAAAATATTAGAACACATAAAATAGGTATAATTTTAGGGTGAGAGAAATTAAAAGGAAAAATGGTTAAATAAACATAACTACAAAAAATCTGGTGAAGAACTCTCATTTTCAGAAATGAATATTTATCATAAATAAAAAGACCAACCATCAAAGAAATGCAAATTAAAACCACACAGAGATTCCACCTCACCTCAGTCAACACAGCTACCACCAGAAAACCACAGTAAATGCCGGAGAAGGCGCAGGAAAAAGGGGGCCCTTGTACCTGCTGCTGGGGGTGTTGCTAGTCCAGTCACCATGGGAACCAGTATGGAGACTCCTCAGAAGGTAAAAAGAACAATTCTGTATGATCCAACCTCACTGCTCCTAGGTACACACCCAGAATCCGTGTCTGTTTACTGCAGGGACAGCTGCACACTCGTGTGCACCATGGGCTGTTACGGCAGTGCCTGCTGATGGGTGAAGGTGAAGGGGTGAAGCAACATGCTGTGTGTGCGCAATAGTTTTATTCAAAATCAACAGGGATTAAGTTATTTAGTTTGTGGGGACATGGGTGGATGCAGAAGTCATCATATTAAGTGAATTAGGACAATCTCACAAAACATTCCATGTTTCTCTAAGGTATGGAATTCAGGAGTGGGTGTAGGAGTAAAAGGGATTTTAGAGCTACAGAAGATAAAACGGGGAAGGACATAAGTACATTATATAAATACAAAAAATCTCATAATAGAACAAAGTTATGGGGCAAGTATGATCAAAATACATTGTATGTGTCCATTGGAATGTCATAATGAAAATCCTTATTTTATATACCACATGCTAATTTAAAAAGAAAAATAGTGAAAAGGTTTGGAAAAATTTAAATAATTATTCACTAAGCATCTCTCATTAAAAAAAAAAACAGTCAGTTAGTAATCACAAAAGACCAAAGATCTTATAAGATAGCAACAAATTATCATGCCAAATGGAAGGGAAAGTGAGATCTACTTCTGCCTGCAGAGCACCTGCTGATCTGAGCAAATCTGAACTACAGTGTTGATGGTCAAAGGGGACAGAGATCAAAGCCAGGGTCTGCAATGGCTGGGAGTCTAGAGACCTTCCCTCCTTAAGCTAACTTCTGTGGGATACACTCCCAGGAAAACAAAGCATATACTAAGCTTCACGTGGTTTTGTGACTCTATTTTCACACCCCCAGCGTAGTCTAGCAATCTTCAAGTTGCTAATTTCCGTCAGCACAGTACAGAGTAGCAGGCATTCTGGGCACTTGGAGGATGCAAACATAAACCTCTCTGGAGACAGGCGCCATCCAACCATCCTCATACACAATTCCCAAGACAACAGCGGTACACAGGCAAAGATACAAACACAGTGACGACGTCTGCGATGGCGCCACAGGGAAGCCACTGCGCACAAGCCTGATGGCCTGAGTTTGATCCCCAGCACACACACGATAGAGGAGAGCTCCAACTCCCACAGGCTGGCCTCTAACATCAGTGTATGGCAGGCACAAACACAGGCACACCGGCACACACCAGCACACACCAGCACACACCAACACACACCAACACACACCAACACACACCGACACACACCGACACACACCGACACACCCCAGCACACCCCAGCACACCCCGACACACCCCAACACACCGACACACACCGGCACAAACACAGACACACCGGCACACCCCGGCACACCCCGGCACAAACACAGACACACCGACACACACCGGCACACAACGACACACACCGGCACACCGACACACACCGGCACAAACACAGACACACCGACACACACCGACACATACTCAAATGTAAACATTTTATCTAAAATAAAGCCTAAACAATGAACCATATATGCAAACAAGTAGAAACCACACAGAAGAAACCCAAAACCTTAAAACATTTTTATATCTAAAAATGTTTTTATATGTTATATATATATATATCTAAAAATGTTTTTAGAAATAAAACTAACCTTATGTTTAAAGCAATATTAACAACAAAATTACCCAACTTAGTCTGACAGTTTTGTGGAGATCACCAACCCACAAGGATCTGCACAGGTCAGCCAGCAAGTTGTCTCCATGGGTAGAGGCACGTGCATGGACTGACCACCCTAGGTGACTGCAGAACTGTCTGCCCTCACCCCTGCTTCTACATACAGACACATACACACACATACATGCACACACTTTTTAAAAACTCAATACAATTGAACTAATTTCAGAAAGTAAAAATTAATAAAAACTAAAACCTTTGTGGGTCAATTCAGTAGCAGAGGAGACAGGATTAGGAAAGAGTAAAGTGCAGTGGAAGGTAACGTAGAAGCAGACACCTACTATGGAAACACACGGACATAAAAATACAGATGACAGCTAAAAGGTCCGGAAGAAAAGACTTACCTTTAACACTTTTAATTTTTGTTCCAGAAAGAGAGAGACACAGAGAAAAAAATTATGAATATGGGGCATAGGCAATAATCAAAGAACAACCTCAAATTCACAGGGTTTGATGAAAACTAATAAGCCATGGATCTGTAAGTGTCCCGGGAGCAAAGCAGGATAATGACAAATTCACCACACGAGTGAACGCAGCACCGCTCTATACAAACACACCCTGAAGCTGAAGTAAGGGCAAGAGGAGAGTCTTTAAAGACGAAGAGGATCAAACATCGGTTAAGGGTTTCTACAGGAAAAGCCACCAAACCGACAGGGGACTTCTCCAAAGCTAAGACTCAGTGTGCTAAAGAGGCTGATGCCAACGTAGAGCCGAGTGGGTGGAGGTGGGGGTGGGAGAGGCGGTACAGCCTGTGCTTAGCAAGCATGAGGCCTGCATCTGATCTCCAGAACATGAACCAAAGGCAGGGCAGAATAATGATGGGTTCTGTCGACATTACTAAATCTGCCACTACACAACCCTCAGGAGAGAAAATATAAACAGTGCAGCTCAAGGGGAAGAAAATCATTCTCAGGCAGAGCCTGGGACTAGATGATGAGTTAAACATGTAATAGATCCAAACAGACATGATTAGAATCTTTTAACCAATTTCTTATTTTTTAAATAAAAACATTTTTTCTGAAAACAGTAAAATTCTAACAAGACAAACATCTTCGAATTAATTTCAGTGTTTAATTTTTTTGCATTCCTTCAAGAAAACTATTTATTGTAATTGCATATCATACATCAGAAGATTTACAGAGTCTAGATTCTGAGTATCCCTTTTATCACTGTGCTAATTTCCACTAAACTATATAGCACAAAAATGCATTTTTGTGTAAAAGATCATTTTGGAACAATATGATTTATCATGTTACACACATTAAATAAATTACTTGAAAGTTTTTATATTTTAAAGCATTATGTGAGGCACTTACACAAAATACTCTGACAAACACATACTATGAATGTTAGACATTATAAAGTTACTATATTCATAAAAGTGTTAATAAAAGCTTGATATATGAGGGCATGTTAAAAATAGGAGATTTACAGGTACTGCAATGGTGGAGTGTCATATTCTTTTTGCTGTGTTTCATTAAATATAAAGGTCATTTGAGGGAATGTCAGAGAAATGAGTATCTTAGCAGATCCCAAATGTAATTCTTCACTATGGACATATTTAGTCAGTTTGGAGAGATTTAACAAAATGCCAGGAAAAAAAATGTGAAAATTAGTTTGTCATTAATCTACAGCCTTAAGATTCTAAACTCAAGGTTTGAAAAGGTATTTCCTGGCTAGTAGACAGCCTCCTTGCTATGGCTCCCACATGGAGTGAAAGAAAGGAGAGGGGGAGAAGGGGAGAGGGGGAGAGGAAAAAGAGGAGGGGAGAAAGGAAGAGAGCATGTAAATGGTGTGACTCTATCAAGGAAAGGAAGCAGGAACCTACAAGATAAGGGGCACAGGCACAGAATTGGGGCTCCATCCCAACAGTGCTCATTTTTATTTATTTCTTTATTATTTAATTTTTATTTCAAGAATATAATAATTCAAGAGTTTGTATGTATTTTGATTAATACAATAAATACATTAATGCTTAATGCCTTGCCAGGGTACATAGACATACATAGGCACACACAGATAAAGCTGTCAGTCATGAACTATGTGGTAACCTAAGCTAGCCCAATGAGGACAAAGATGAACTGATTTCTGGCTTTGTCTAAAAAAGTTCTAGTAGTTTATTGCAGTGAAAATAAATTTTCTAAGCAATAACTTTAGCATAGTAATACAGGCTCACACTATTATCAAAACATACATAAGAACAAACTAATTTACCTATACTAAGATACAAATCCAGGGGCTAGAGAGATGGCTCAGTGGTTGACAGCGTTTGCTACTCCTGCACAGGTCCCTGGTTCATTTCCCAGCACCCACGTGGAGGTTAAACCCATCTGAAACCCCAGTTCTGGGGATTCTGCCGCCTCCTCCTGGTCTGTGTCAACTGGATGTATTTGTTGTGCATACATACATTCAAGCAAAACAGCCATAAGCACAGAATTTAAAAAGATTATAATTCATAGCATCTATGACAAAGTTAACACTATCAATGGTAACAGAACTCGAAGGTTGTTCCATCAGCCAGGAAAGTGAACTCCAAGAGGAAGCACATCTTATGCCTGTCTTAAAATTTTATTCTAATTAGCGTATAGTACATTAGAAAGTTAACTTTAAATTCTTATTTATGACAATTTATTCCCACTCTGAATTTCTTCTAATAACACCCTTTAGAGTCATTATCTTTTATCACAGATACTTCATTTTTCTTATAAGATCCATCCAGCATGGGAAGTAAAACTATCATGTCTAGTATATAAGGTCAAGTTTCACGTAACTACGTCCAACATATGACTAGTAACTAAACAAGAAAAAAGAAAGCAACTTGAATTATCATTTATTTCCATGGTGTTCAGTTCTACCACAATGAAGGTACCCATATTGTAGAAATACCTGGGGTTTGTCATATACAGCTTTTATTATGTTGAGACATGTTCCCTACTCCCACTCCAGGACTTTTATTATGTTGAGACTTGTTCCCTACTCCCACTCCAGGACTTTTATTATGTTGAGACACGTTCCCTACTCCCACTCCAGGACTTTTTTCATGCACTCATGTTGGATTTTGTCAAAGGCCTTGTCTGTATCTATTGAGATGATCATATGATTTTTGTCTTTAAGTTCATTTATAGGATTGATTATAATCATAACATTTTTAAATGTTATAGTGATTTTTTAAAAGTAATACAAAGTAAAAATACTTTTTAAATCTTCAAAATCAGTAATGCTAAATTAAAAAACAGGCAAGCTATAAAGTAAATACAATAATGAAATTTGAACTTAGATATTGTCATAATAAATATAATTAGCCAGGCAGTGGTAGCGCACACCTTTTATCCCAGCACTCAGGAGGCAGAGGCAGGAGGATCTCTGTGAGTTCGAGGCCAGCCTGGTCTACAAGAGCTAGATCCAGGATAGGCCCCAAAGCTACAAAGAAACCCTTTCTCAAAAAAAACCAAATAAAATAATAATAATAATAAATATAATTAACACAAAAGATCCAGCTAAAAAGGTGAACACATTACCCTGGATTAAAAAATAAACACAACTATATGTAATTCATGAAAAACATACCTAAAATAGAGTGCTCAGAAGAAAAATAATGGCTACATCAGAAAAAAATACTAAGTAATGGAAAGTCACAGAGCTACAGGAATATTGTACAAAAAGGACTTGAAGTGAAAGTGCATTCATAGAAGAGGTTAATTTCATAATAATATTTGATTCCCAGGCATATAACACACTTTTGTGGACTTAATGACTTAGCTTCAGTGTGTAAGCAAACAGTGACTAAATGACAGAACAAACCTATTACACAACTACAGTCTACACACTCAAGGACGTATCTGACCCTATTCTGGCTCATAAAGAAACCTACTCAGTTTTCAAAGGGTTGGCATTACCACATGATCATATCTGATCAGCTGTTTAGATTGGAAATTAGTAACAAGAAAAATTAGATAAACAGTATTTATAAACAAAGAAATCTCTAAATAATCCATGACTCAAACATAGAAGCAAAATATAAATTATAAAATACTTTAATAAGCAATAAAACCAATGCCCCAAAACTTAAAAATTCATCTAAAGAAAAGTAGATATTGGTAACTTAAGGTCCTATACCAAAAGAATAACTCAAAAGTTGAGAAAACAATGAAAATAGGCAAAATAGAAACATTCTTAACAGAGAATTAAAAAGGCAAAAGTTGGCTCTTTGAAATAATCTAAGCACAGTGGACACTACTTTATCATTCAGATGATGACAGAAGGGGAAATATACAATAAACGTTCATAATTTAACATTTACACCACTACAAATGTTGACATAAAAAAGACAAGAGGAATCTAAGAATGGTGGTATATTCCTGCCCTCAGCAAACAACCTGGACTTCATAATGAGACTGACTCACTAAACAGAAAAAAAGCAAACAAAACACCAAGAGGCTATTATGAACTATTCACACCAATAAAATAAAAATTTTAAATGAACAAATTCCAAATTGGGGACGGGAGACAGTACAAAAGAAGGGGGAAGAGGGGTAAGTAACACTGAGGATGTTTGAAATAATGACAGGGAATAATTTTATACTTACCTGAAACTATATATAATACACACACACACACACACATGTGTGTGTACGTGTGTACGTGTGTGTGTATACGTCTAGATAGTTTAAATGAACTTATGCCACTTGGGATGATAATGTCTTCTGTAAGAGCTATGGACTACCTAATAAAGAGGCCAGTATGAGGCATGAGAAACCTCTTTTGAGTTGTTGGTCAGGGAGTCCAAGAGATTCCAAAAAACGTAGACTTTTGCTGTTGCCCTCGACTGCTTCTGAAGCTGAAGACAGCACACACTTTAGTCACAACTCGGAGGGTTTCAGTTGGATCTGACCCGAAAGTCTCCTCCCTGCTGAGGACACTTTCATCTACACCACAAGGGGCTATGTGAGCTGCCAACAGAGGAAGGCAATCAATAACTGTGATGTCAATAGACCACAGTGGCCAGCACAAGAGACCCTGAAACACACTTACCACAAATAAGCGCAGCTCTCGCCCCAATCAAAAAAAGCTTCTTTTTGTAGCAGATCAAAAATTCCTACTGCTCAGTAAACTGTTGTGTGATGACACCATAGCACAACACAGTGCTCACTTGTGAGGACGCTGGTGTAAGCAAACCTGTGCTGCCATCAGATTAAAGTGCACCGAGAGCAGTGTGCACCGTGCACAGCGTCTGCTAACTAACGACTGCTACTTGTTCACAGATAACTCAATCACCCAGTAGGAGCTCGCGTGTTGTGGATAATGCTTGCGCTGCTCGCCCTCCGCCTGCAGCGGCTCCTCTTCTCACCCTTTGGCTAGTTTGAACAAAATGGGCTCACTTCCACCACAACAAATGACAGCAAATGCGACATGGCGCAGCTGCTGCCCACACGTCTGTCTCTCATACAACACACAATCACTTCACATGCTAATTTTGTGTCCTGAGAACTCAGAATTGTTACTGGCACAGAGTAAGAACTTAAATCTTTGCTGACCAATGAGAGACAAGCAAACGTACCTCTGCAGGTCTCACCCAAGCCAAAGAGCAAGGGATTGCCTGAGCAGGCAGCTTCGTGTAGCAGCATCTGCAGAAAGCCAAACATACAACTATGTAATCATGTGTGTACAAAGCTTTTAATGAAGTCTCTGATCCACTTGTCTGGTTATTCATACCATTCCAATTAGTTCACAACATTTTAATTAATGCCTCATACTTTAGAAGTTATTTTTGAAACAAATCACAATACAGTACTTTTTAAGAGAACCGTGCAAATGAAAGCACCCAGTAGGACTGCTAATCCCTTGGCATGTAAGTATGCCTCTTAGCATGACCCTGAATTACTGTCTCACTACGAGACCAAAATTTATTCTCACGGTTCATTCAAATTCATAATCAAGTGTAAGAAGAGAGAGTATAGTTCATCCATAAAATAGGTAATCAGCAGCTCCGTAATTAACAATGTGAGCTCCTTCTGTGGGGGATCCCAGCCCCCACATCACACAGCTCACAACTACCTGTTTCTCCAGCAACACAGAATCCTATAGCTTTGGCCCCTGTGGGCACGTGACCATACCTGTACACACAGTTAAAAATAATAAAGATAAACCTTTTAAAAATATATTAAATGATCATTAGCCAAATATGTTCTGCAATAAGATGTAAAGAATGGAAGACGGCAAGAGAAAGAAAAAATTCCAGCTTCAAAGTTCCATGATTCATAATTTCATTTTCCAGCATTATTTCTGAATTCAACTCACTTGAGGAACCGCAGAGCAGACTTCTGAACAGTTCCAATATTTCCAAAGTCTGGGTAGAACACTTCAACTTCCTTTTTCCCAATGATTCGGTGGATAATAACCCGGTACCACCACTTGTCCTCAGAAATCCTTACACAACAGAGATGTCCCGGCTGGATAAAATATTCCGGCATGATGTACCGATCAGAAACCAGCTGATTAGAGTAACAGCGCCTGTAGAATTCACAACACAGAAAAACCACAGAGTGAAAGAAAAAAAATAATTTTTACTGGTGTATGAAGAGCAAGAAAGTCTTAGCAAAAAGCAAAGCAAAAAATTAATTTTCTGATTCGCTAATGCCTATTAATGTCCATTCCTTTATCAAAATCCTTTCTATGTAGCAACAAACTCAATTAAGCATGAAAATTACACACTTATCTTGTTAACTTAAATTCTCTAAATAGAATGTAATCCAACTTCCTGAAATGGATACTTTCCTGTATTTATGGTTCCTTTTGGGAAGATCTCAGAAGGGGTGACAGAAAGACTGTTAAGAGCCAGAAAACCAAGAAATGAGCTGTGAAACAGTCTCACTTAGAAATGGCTGCACAAAGAAGACCAGAGCAATGACAGAACCATTGGGCATACAATGAACAAGGCCTTTGGGAACGGAGACAGGCTCCAGGAAAAAGGCAGAGGGCCTTTACCTCAGGTGCACTTGTTCCCTCGAATGTTCTTAACTTGATTTCATGCCTCCATTTATAAGACATGCTTATTCTTGCTGGGTATCGGACCAAAGCCACAGAACCCAATCTGGTAAGAATATGCCGAGTGCTGTCCTCAGTGTACCTGAACCTGGATATGGCCTCTGCCTCACTTTCGTGCCTTCCCAGATATAATCTATGGTACGTGCCAGGCATTGTTTAAATTGGTCTGTCCTGAGGAAGTTCTAGGAATAGGCTGCTATGTTAATAGTATGTGCTTACTGGCATTTATTTACATGTTTTTCTGAACACAAACACCCTTCCTTACATCATTGCTTTCTTTGTTACATTAGTGTATAAAACACACTGAAACTGAAGTAAGGTTGTTTACAGCATTAGACTGTTGTTTACCCCAGGTCTCACAGACACATCTGCACAGGTTGTCAAAAGCTAACAATCTCAACTGGCAAAACCTTGCTTTTGAGACCTTGCTGAAATATCAACTATGAAGCTTTCCCAGACAGAGTGCTATTTCTGGGCAGTACCAGGGCCTCAGTAACCACTCAGCAGTTCCAGCGTAACAGCAGCAGCCAGGCTAGGCTGGTAAACTGCTCCAGAACCCACATCAAAAACCAAACATTACCTGGGCATTAGTAGCATATTTGTTAATCCCAGCACTCAGGAGGCAGAGGCAGGCAGATCTGTGAGTTCGAGGCCAGTCTGGTCTACAGAGTGTTCCAGGACAGATGCAACGTGGAGGCCTGAAAGGCAACCTTAGGGGTAACTGTCAGGAATGTGACCCACCTCCTCTGCGACAATGTCTCTGATTGGCCTAGAGCTCACCAACACTGGTAGGACTAGCTAGACAGAGGCCCAGGGATCCTTTTGTCTCTGCTTTCCCCATGCTAGGATTACAGGTGTTTGCCACCATGCCTGGCATTTTCACATGTGTTCTGGAAATAAAATCCCGGTCTTTGTGTTCACAAAGCAAGTGCTTAACTAAACTATCATTCGAGCCATGATAATATTTCTAGGGAATTATTATGGGACTTATGTTAGGTAACTTAGGTATCATATAAATATATAATATGGTTTAAAAAAAAAGAAAAACATGGAATGTTTCTGTAAATACAAATTGTAACTTGTTTAACAAGAGGCTGTGTGCTGTCTCACATATCTGGCACCAGCATCTGAATAAAGCCTCTTTTGTTACAAGTTTTCATGGTCAGACTGGTGACTCTCTTAGTGACCCCACACCCATTAACACTAACACTACAATTCAGAGGCGAGAATTTGAAATGCATCTTCCCCAAACTTCTCTTCAAGGAAAACAACTAAGACTGTATATTGTCAGTGGGAAAGCCTTCAAGCAAGAGTCAGGACTTACAAGTGCTGCATTCACCACCACAAGCAGCAGACTCAAAGCTGACGCCGTTCTGATCACATCAGGAGTAGTAAAGAAAGGAGTAAAATCTGCTTCACAAACTCGTTCAACTCCCACAACTCCCTTAGCAATAGGTAGATCTCAGTTTAATATTTTATATGAGTGTGGTTTTCTTTATTTTCAATATCGTGAAATGAACACATCTACATTTGGATGAGCTGCATAATTCAGTAAAGTAGCGTTTCACAAAGGGTCAAAACATGACATTATAAAATTATACATAGGATTATACGTAGGTACAGTTCATCTAGGGCTACCTTCCTGTTTAGAGGACTCCTGGACCTGTTTAAAGGCTCCACGATCACTATCTTGAAATTCTAATGATTTCTAAGGGGCCCTGTACTTTAATTTGGAACTGAGGCCTGCAATCAAACATTGTGTCCTGGATCTTTCAAAGAGCTAAAGCAGACCAATTCTAAAATAAGAAAAAATTGAGACATGAAAACTTCAAATTCTAAATTGCAACTAATTTTATGAAGTATTTAAAAAATTTAGACATTATCAAAATACAACTTTCCAAAGGGACTATTAAGACATTTATTTATTAATTATGTTTATAATTTATAAGGGCAGAGGACTTCAAGTTCCTCCATTCTTCATACTTTTCACATACCATGGTTTTGGGTACCTAAGATCAACTACAGTTCAAAACTATTAAATGGAAAGTTCAAGAAATCAGTAATTCATAAACCCAAAGCTGCGTGCTGTACTGAGTTGAGGAGCACGGTGCAATCTTCACCATCTTCCCTCTGCAGCCCAGGGTCCAAGCCACCCCTTCAGGAGCGCCTTTGAGCCACATGCCAGTCCAGTCCAGCTGCTACCAGAGGAGATGGTCGTAACTGTTGTATTTTACTGTTAGTTTTGTGACTCTCTTACTATATCTGATTTATAAGTTAATTTTAGCAAAGATAAGTGTGTATATGAAAATACACATACAGTATGAAGAGAGTTTGGTGTAAGCAGTTTTAGCACTCACAGAGGGATCTGGAATATACACAGTATGGATATGAAGGGCTATTGTACATGCTTGGATTAGAAAATAATTATTTTTCATAAAAAACGATATTTATAGTACCACACACGGATTTTTCTTAAACTAATGTTTTGATTTTCTCAGTTTAAGTTTCTGTATGATAAAAGCATCAGAAAGCAAAAAGCTTTTTGTTACTTTAGGAGTCCTGAGAGCAAAATGCCCGAGCATTGCTGCTGACCACAAGCGGGGACACCGGATGAAAGCGAGGCTCCCTACCGCATTTCGATCATCATGTCCTCAAGTAGCTCCGACGAGTCTCTGCTGTAGATGCGGATGTAGAACTGACTCGGAGAGATTATGTACTCCACAAAGACCCCCACCAGGGTGCTGGTGTCCAGTGGCGGAAGTCTGCAGAGTTTCTTTGCACGCACGGCATCTGGTGGGATGTCATGGTTTGCCACTGACAAGCTGAACTGGGATTTGTTTGTTTCTACTTGCTACAGGGGAGGCAGGGAGAGAAAGAAGTTAAAAAAGCCTGTAAGGGGCATTTCAAATCTTGTGACAGTGTCTCTCAAACTATTTCATGAATCACTTTTTATCACAATCATCTGGAAGTTATAAAAATCCAGATTCAAGGGTCGAGCCAGGATTATGATCCAGGATGTTTTAGGTGGAGCTCACAGCCACACACTACAGCACTACAAGGTCAGAGTGTTAAGCAAATGTCTTCAACAAACTGGGCAACGTGACATCTCAAATATTCAGGCTGGGGTAAGGGGGGTTCCCAACCTTTGCTTACTGGTAGGCTTAGGGAGGCTATCTTTAAGGGACAGGTCAGACTCAGACTAGCTCTCTCCTATCAGAAGCTCTGCAATCAAGTTCATTCTAAAACATGCAATCTCCTCTAGGCCTTCCTATCGTCCTGAAGACAACACAGCAGGCTCTAGAACTGCTCGTTCCCCTGAAGAGTCTTCTACAGCGAGGAACAAAGAATTCATTCCTTTATAACATCAGATCCGAAACAGGAGATAAAATGCGAACAGAAGTGTGTGAGGATGTAACGGAGGAGAAAATTAAATGACTCAAGGAAGTGACAATGGGTATAAAGGCATCTGTGGCCACAGCCAAGGCAAGCACAGAGCAGGCTCCCACACTCTAGAAAGTCCTGCGGACTACAAGCCTCCACCCTGAGGCTCTCAGTAGTAGAGAAACCAACAGAGCCATCAAAAGAGAACTTGATACCAACCATCTGAAAATCTTAAAATCAGCTGTGTGGGAAACGAAAGACTGAAAACCAGAGGAAACACTTCATAATGAGGTGCTGGACCGAAGAACTGGCCTCTTCCAAGGAACAAGATTCTTAGGGATATTTTCCCCTAAAGAGCACTTTGATTTAAACAAACATTTATTCAGTTATTCTGACTACTATATGAAGTCCTTGAACCCCACTCACCAGCTGCAAAGGCTTTACCACAAGATTAGGCTTCTTGTAAAGTTTCTGTTCTGGTTCCTTGTGGTTCTTCAAGGGGCAGTCCCACGTAGTCTTCCTAACTGCTGCCGTCGACAGATGGTTTCTAGAGGGGCTGGAGAGCCAAGCATTGCCTTCTGTTTTCTTGTCTGGTTGAACTAAACACGAATTTCTGACTGATGAAAACGCTCCACCTGAAACAGTCAGGGCGCCCGCAGACCTGTCACTGTTGAGCCACTGCCACTAAGCAGCCCCAAGTGCCAGGCGCTGGGGATTCACTGACCTCTCAGATGGAGACACAAGGAAAGTTGTTGGAGAGCAAAACCAAACCCTAACATTCTCATACTGGGAAAGCAGGAGCTGGTACAACTTCTGAAACCTTGACGAGCAACTTAACATTCTGGTTTCCAAATTCTCCGAACTAAGCAGTGAGCAGGTGACATACAATATATATATATATTTAGACAGGGTTTCTCTGTGTAGTCCTTGCTGTCCTGGAACTCACTCTGTAGACCAGCTGGCCTTGAGCTCAACAGGTCCTCCTGTCTCTGCGCCCTGAGTGCTGGGATTAACGGTGTGCCCCCCCCCCCCCGGGGGGCCACCACCCCCGACTGTGCATATATGAGTACCTGGGCTGGCACATTACAGAACTCCTTAGACCTAAAGAAACAAACTCACAAGCACATTAAAATGTAGGCACAAAAAGATTAATCACAGTGAGGAGGATGTCAGTCACCGGTGAAATGCTTGCTTGGAATGAATGAGGGCCTAGTTTCATACCTGAACAGCAAAATAAATAAAGAAAAGCTAAAAATACTAGTCCTGATGCCTTTATAATGGTAAAACGGAAACAATCTAAATGTCCACCAACAGGACACAGATTAAATGAAATAAATATAAGAACTGTGCAAAGGTAAAAATGAAAAATATTAATATGAAAAACAACATATTAAACATAAAAAGCAAAGACACGATATTTATATAATAATGTATTATATAAGAAAATTGTCATAATTAAATATAGAAATACACTCACTGAAGCTACAAGCACTAACTACCTCTGTTATTTGGTTTGAAGAACTTTTGTGGTTAAAAAACATTCCATGACTTCAGATCGGCTCTCGCTTAGGTCCTCCAATCCTGGATTGAGAGCACTTGGCTCCACAACAATGCCTTCTCTCCAGGCACACCGGCTGCCCTGACTCAGCACTGGCGTTTTAAGATGCCAAGGGAGACAAGCATTCAGCAATCCTACCCAGCTGGGACACCTGGAGCACAATGACCAGAACAAGAGCTCCCTAAAGGTGCAAGACTGGTGCTCTTATCTCGACAGAAAGTCAATGACAGAATATGGAAAGGTAGTTATACATCATAACCACTAATAAAAAATTATATAATAGACCGGGAAAAGATTAAAAAACTGTTGGTGAAGCCTTGCCTTGCAAACACAAGGGTATCAGTTGACGCCCCCCAGAATCCACATTAAAAAAAAAAAAAGTCAGGCATGGAATAATGGAATATGCATGCCTGTAATCCCAGTGCTGGAGAACAGGGTCAGGGGGATACCTGGGTTTCCCTGGCCAACTAGTAACCCTATTTCAAAAGTAAATAAATAAATAAAATGTGGGCAGCACCTGAGGACAGCACCTGAGGCTGTACTCCAGCTTCCTAGCACTCACACATGCATCTCCCCACATGTAATTCATAAAAGTATCATACTGTCACCAATGCAGATGTCACCACTGAGGGAACTGAGCAAAGGACCCATGGGCTCTATCCACATGACCACATAAAAGACAATGTCCTAGGTCCAATGTGGGTTCCTATAGTAAATACAGAAATAGAAAATAGAACATTTTTGGAAAAATTGGAGTTTATTTACTGTAAAAATATACATGTAGGGTTTCTCACACATATTTCATAGATTCTGACTGTCCTTGTGTAAGAAGTGTAGCAAAAATTCTGATTAGTCTTAATAAATTAAACCTAGAGTCAGATATCAGGGGGTGAAAGCTGAAGGATCAGAGAAGCAGTGCAGCCAGACACTAGAGAGATCTTTTACCTCTACCACTGCTCAAAGACATGACGATCCTGTCCTCAGACTGCCTCCTCCGACCTTGTGTTCCTCTCTCTGTCCAGCCACATCACTCCTGTCTCCACCTCCCTACTGCTGGGATTAAAGGCGTGGGACCCCAAGTGCTGGGATCACCATTGTGTGAGCTGTTTCTCTTTTAGACAGATTCAATCTTGTGTAGCCCAGGGTAGCTTTGAACTAACAGAGATCCCTCTGCCTCTGTCTCCTGAGTTCTGGAATTAAAGGTGTGTGCCACCACTCCCTGGCCTCTAGTGACTTAGCTCTGCACTCAGATCTTCAGGTAAGCTTTATTTGTTAAAACACAAAACATCCATGCACATAAAATAAAATTTTTTTAAAAAAATAAAAGAAATTGCTGGACATGGTGGCTCATGCTTGTGATCTCAGCATTCAGGAGGCTGAGGCAAGAGGTTTCCGTGTGTTTAAGACCAGTAGGGGTTACACATTGAGCTCCAGGTCAGCCTGGGCTACATAGTAAAAACCTATCTCAAAACACTCAAAAATAAATAAGTTAAATTGTAAAAATTTGATTTTTTAAACTAATAATACAGGTTAACTTGACTATAATATCACTAGGGGTTCCCTTGTCAAACTAGCATGAGGTGTTTTGGGTCATGTGATTCTAATGATGACTCTTAATGCTTTATTCTTCCTTGTCTTCAAAAGCACAGTTAAAAAGGAGGTTTGTATTATACCAGTTTAACTCACCAGGCGGGACAGGCTTCAGGTCAGCATCAAACACCAGCAAGTCTTGCTTTTCTTCACTGAACTCGACGCGGAGAATGTCACTCAGAGATCCAACAAGTTCTGTCACATTTAAGAACCCTAACTGTTTTGGTGAAAGTTGCTCTTTAAAAATTAGCTGTCATAAAAACAAACAAACAAACAGAAAAGCATGAGGACTCTGGACCTCGATACTTGGGGTTCAGTGAACTCAGGCATACAAGTCTGCTCACGGGCTGCCACTCTAACCTAACCACTAAACTCCAGGTCCCAGAGACAGCTCACTCCCAAATACAAAGTAGACAGAACTCTCAAGGCATTCTAGGTACCACATGCATGGGCATACATGTGAGAACATAACACATAAATGTTTTCATCTCTTGAACCAACATAAAGCAACTGAGTTGCTATCAGCAAACAAAAGGACAAATGGGTGGGTCAGGGTGGTGGCAAATTAGAATTAGTATCTATTTCTTCAGGTTACATATTAAAACTTCTTTACCTTTTATGTTTATCAGTCTCTAATGGTTTCTCAAATAATTGTGTACATTACTGTGAAAACATAACATAAAACTAGGGTGGGGAGAATTAAAAATATAAATAAGTAACTGCTTTGATCTTTAGACTTAATTTTTTAAAATCATGTCTGCATGTGGGTACAAGTGCCAGTGCCCTGAGAAGCCGGAGGTGTTATAGACAGTTATGAACCACCTAACATGGGTGCTGGAAACTGAGCTCAGGTCCTCTGGGCTATCTCTCCAGCCCCCAAATTAGTAATTGTTGATAGTATATTCAAAAGGTCCAAGCAAATATTCAGCAAAACTAAGTTTCAGGAGGGGAAGAGGATGAAACAAATGATGTGGGTGATCAAAGTTTTATATCTACATATGTATACATGAAATTGTGAAAAAATAAACAATTTTAAAAAAGAAATTTATGGTGCAAATTCTCACAAATAAAACATTTGTTCATTAAAATGAACGGCAAACAAGTCTCTGCTCACCCCCAAATGCTTCAGTCACCTAGCAACCATTTCTCTACAAATAACTGTTATTACCTTTTTTAACTTTCCAGAAATCGTCAAAACTTAATTGGGCTTTGATATAAAATTATATAAGTTATGCATCTTGCTTTTTCAGTTACTATAAAGGTAATTTTATATTGTTACTATATGAAACACGACTTGGGTGCACTTTATAATTAGCTGAGTCAATTCGTTGATATGTCAGATGTATTTTTATTCTAATGCTTTGGTATTGCTCCCAATGATGAGCGATGAAGAAGTTGACATAGTTCTACTCCCACACCCCTTCTTTTCCAGAACCCCAGCCCACTGATGTAATACACATGAAAACTATAGCTTACATCATCTTCATGGTTTAAAAACCCAGCTAGAGGCCACCAATGCTCTAAATAGTAAGATGTTCTAATTGGTAAAAGAGCAGCCTTTTAGATACATTACATGTTTACTTTATCCTTTGTGCTTCAGTTCTAATCTGGCATCATTTCATTTAGCCTTAAGTATTTTATTTACCTTTTCTTACAATACAGATCTATTCACATTTTTCTATTTCTTGATTATTGGAAATGTCTTTATAGTGAGTATAAAATCAAGACTGTACATGGAGTGCTCTGCCTTTCACGTCTCTTCTTGATACTGTCACACTTGTAAAAAAATGTTAATCAAGCCGGGCGGTGGTGGCGCACGTCTTTGATCCCAGCACTGAGGAGGCAGAGACAGGAAAAGCTCTGTGAGTTTAAGGTCAGCCTGGTCTACAGAGCAAGCTCCAGACAGACTCCAAAGCTATACAGAGAAATCCTGTCTCAAAAAACAAAAATAATGCTAATCATTATATTTCAATGATGTTCTAACAGTAAGTAGTAAAAATAATCTTCCTATTCATAATTAAATATTTGTTACTGGCCATATCTTAACTATTGAAATGATTTAAAAAGCAACTAAGATGCAAAACAAGATATAAGTGTTAAAAGCACAGACTTAGAGGATCCAGGAGCAATAGCAAATTAGTCTATCATAAGAAAATTAAGCAATACAGAGAGTAGACTAGTAGATGAAAACAGTTACCTCAAATTCTCCAAGCAGTTTAGAAATAAACAAACCTTGTGGAAACTTAGATACAACCTAATCAACAGAAAAAACAGATAAAATTGAAATATTAAGACAAAATACTAAGATCGTTTTAATTTCAAAAAACATACTATCATAAATATTTCATTTTGTACATTTGCATAATTTTAGGACAAGTCCCCAGAAATGGACTTGCTTCAATTCCAATACAGTATAAAGAACGTAGTGCCTTCTTAAATCTAGATAAATTCTAATGCATACATCAAAGAGGATATAAAGTAAATACCCCTTTAAAATCTTGTGACAAAGAGACAATTTCTGCTGCATTTCAGGAACCATCCTTTCAGAAGGGCACAAATATGTACTCCATTACCCATCATTTCACACAAAAGGACATGGCAGCCTGTACAGGGCACACTGCCTTGGGAACCAATGGCAGCAGGCATTAACTCTGAGGAGCCACATCATGATCCTTAGTTTAATGGATCCTTAATCAATGAATACTTTTCTTCTAATTTTTTTGGTTCTGTATTAATCGTGAACATCCTTGAATAAATAACTGTTAGACACTTGTTCAAGTTTCAAAAACAATGAGAAGGTGCCTGAGAGTATTGGATTGCCCTATGTCCCACCAAAGTCACAGTAAGTGAAGTGAGGTCATATAAGGCAGTGGGAGCTATAATAACATTTTACTTACACAGATCAGGACCAAAACCCTCAAGGCAGACTACACCCTCTATCCCAATCCCTAACAAAAGAGTTTCCAAAAAATAATAACGCAAAACTATGAAACAGGCCACTCATATGGAAGTGTACATCAGTATAAGAACATAAAAAGGTAGCTAATGTAAAACTGTTATAATTTAAAATGTGGCTGAAAGTAAAGCTATCTTCCAAAGGGTCTACTTATTCAAATCTTTCAGATAGCAGTGTAGTAACTTTTATCTTCAACAAATCAAATGTCTGGTGTCTTTGATAGCAGCCTATATACTACATAACCATTCAAGGGACTTCAACTGCAGAAACTTAAGTATCCAAGGTCCAAAGCAATTCAGACTTTAATCCCTCACAAGTCTTCCTAAGTGAAACATGCAACATAAACATACTGAGATATGTGTAATAATATTTGTGATAATGCTACCTATGCAGGAAAGAACACTGGATTAGAAAGATCTGGAACTATTTGTCAACAATAATTTGTTGGGCAATGGATGAAAAGAAGGGAGAAGAATGGAAGGACCATTTTCTAAACAATTTCACATTAAAATTTTCAGTCCAATTTTATTTATTGCTTTTTCTGATTTAAAAATTATTTGTTTCCCAGAAATGGAAAATACTTACAAATTTTATCTTATGTTTTAGGTCTGGATCAATAGTCCCACCAGGTCCAACTTGGGCAATAACTGATTTGAATCTGTTCTCCAACTATGAATAAAAGAAAAAGTCAAATCACTAAAAAGTCAAAGACAAATGTAAGCAATCTATAAAAGGAAATTTTTATCAAATGAGTCCAATCCTGTTCTTAAAAAGTGGCACTGACGGCCACAGAGATGGCTCAGTGTTCAAGAGCACTTACTCTTGTAGAGGGCCTGAGTTTGGTTCCTAGACTTTGACCTCTGTGGCACCTGCATTCACATGAACATACTCATTCACAGACAACACATACACATAGTTAAATAAATTTTCAAGTTTCATTGAGACATTTTATATTATATAAAATATACAGATGGAATTTGTGTGAAGCCAGACACTGGGGAATATTCCAAGATAAACAGAATTATCTATAACAGATTCTAAAGTCCGCAGTTAATCTGATACAAGGATACTTGCCATTCAGTTTCTAAAGTGACTTAGTATTATCACATACTTAGTGACCGCCTAATGACTGGAAGGCACAGGCTGTTGGAAAGGTCCAGAAAGGTAGGAAGGAGTGTTGAGTCAGGGCACAGGTGGAACTAGTGGCCTTGTCTAAGGAGCAGTGGGGGAAGCTCCTTTATGTAACGTGAGCAAAGAAAGAAAGAAAGCGTAGGACAGTGAAGGGCTGTGCATGTGGGCAGTGGCTAGAGCTGCTACCTAACAGTTTTAATTCCTAGGAATCTGGAAGCGCAGGCCTGGCCTCTCACCAAGATGTAGGTGAAGACGAGGGCGGACAAATATTTGAGAAGTAGACAGTGATTGAGAAAGATGCCCACCATCAATCAACCTAGGTCTCCACATCCACACGCACATGCGGGCAAACACCCACACACCCACGCACATACCTGCAGACACGCACGCGCACGCGCACACACACACACACTCACACACGAGTCAGGAACAGGGCAAGCATCTCCACTCCCACCATGTCTCTTCATATTAGAGAGCCCAACCCAAGGGTGATAAGAAAGGAGGCAGATATACTGAAGCAAAACCAGGGCAGAAGAGACGGCTCAGTGGTTATGCGCACTGGCAGTGGTGGCGCACACCTTTATTCCCAGCACTTGGGAAGCAGAGGCAGGTGGATCTCTGAGTTCAAGGCCAGCCTGGTCTGCACAGCAAGTTCCAGGACAGCCAGGGCTACACATAGAAACTGTCTCAAAAAAGAAAAGGGCACTGGCTTCTTTTCCAGCACCCACACGGCACATGGCCTCTCACAACTGTCTGACTCCAGTTCCAGGTGACGTGACACCGTCTTCTGGGCTCTGAAGGCATGAGGTGGACACACTGTGCTCAGGCATATGACACAGGCAAAAATACCCATTCTCATAAAAATATATATTAGCAATGATTAATTTGAAAATATCATCTTTAACACAATAAACTATGAAAGGCATAAGAAGTAAGCTTAATAAAATGTATACAAGCTATATATACTGAAAACTATTAGACATTGAGAGAATTTAAAAATAAAAATAATGATGATAAGTGCTATTTTCTTGAATCCTGAGGTTTAACATTATTTTTCCTCAAACACACCTATAATATCCAATGTAATTCTAATCAAAATCTTGAGACTTACTTTTGACAAAAATTAACCAGATTTCTATATAACTAAATATACTGGAAATGTAAAATGTAGAATAACCAAACAATTGTAAACAAGAAGATGTAGGATTCAGTTTTACAATTTTAAGCTACTATAAGCGATAGTGATCAAGAAGCACGGGGTAACGAGGTACTCAGTGTGGGGAGCACACCGGTCCACAAAACCACACTACAGTTCCCCTCCCTCCCCTCCTCCTACTCCCTGCCCAACACCCAACCTCCCATCCATTCCTCAGAAAGAGTAAGGCCTCCCATGGGAAGTCTACAAAGTTTGGCATATCAAGTTGAGACAGGACCAAGCCTCTCCCCCTATATCGCGACTGAACAAGGAAGGTGTCCCTCCATAGGGAATGGGCTCCAAAAAGCCAGTTCATGCACCAGGGATAAATCCAGGTCCCACTGATAACTGGCAATCCTTATTCAGGAAACTTCAGAACTGGCATATTATACAAAGATTAATTTGAAATTGGTAATAGACTGAAATATATAATCTAAATCTCAAAAATTCTAGAAAAAATATAAAATTTGTCATTTTACATCCAGCAAAGATTAGTGAACAAGAACCACATGAGAAAATTCAAGTTTTCAAAACCAGTTCTGAAGTTTCCTGAATAAGAATTGCCAGTTATTAGTGGGACATGGATTTATCCCTGGTGCCAAGAATCAAAGACTTCAGTTTACAAAAGGCAAGATTAAGAAAAGGAAGAGTGGGGCTGGAGAGAAGTCAGTGGTTAAGATACCAGCCTTGAAGAAGACCCAGGTTCAATTCCCAGCATCCACCTGCTGGCTCACAACCATCTGTAACTCTAGTTCCAAGGAATCTGACACCCTCTTCTGGCCTTCCTGGCCACCAGGCACACACATGGTACACATACATACAGGCATATAGGCAAAACACTCATATATACAGAATAAAATAAATAAACCTATAACCTCTTGGAACATCTTTCTGAGACTGTCTTGACTATGCTAATATATATTAGAAGATACACCTTAACTATGAGTGGAACCATTCCCTAGGCAGAACAGCCTAGATTGTATAAAACAGAGCTGGCAAACTGAGCACTAACATTAATTATTAACCCACTGCTTTCGTGACTGTGGTTGTGAGGGACCAGCTCACTCGAGCCCGTTTCTGGGGTTCCCTGCCATGATGAACTGGAACTGGAACTGCGAGACAAATCCCTGAGTCATTTGAACAAGACCTCCAGCCTCTCTACATCTCAGGCTCCAAGGACTGAGCTGGCGCTGAAGTTCTTGGGTGGGGGGGGTGGCCTGAGAGGACTCTTAGCTGGTGATAACTCTGAAGCTGGTGTCCTCAGCCCACAGCCACATCAACTTCATGGAAACAGACACAGGCACTCTCCTGTTTATGGTGCTGGAAGCAGACAGTTTTTATAGAAGCCTAGGCTTGTGGCATTGTCTGCAGGGTCTTCAGTGTGCTGAGGAAGGGCCCCACATGTGAACATGGAAGGCTTCATCTGAGCTAAGAAGATAAAGTGTTGGCTTCTATCAGCTTACGTTAGAGCAAATCCATGCAGGCCAGTTCAGTAGGCAAAATACTGCTGCATGGAAGACTGGAACATTAATTTCAACCATATAGAGAAACATGGTACTAGTTTAAGCTGTATCCCTTGAGAACTGGTAATGAGGCTGAAAAACCTTCTGTGACTATAACAATTAAGATAATAAATCTCTCAATTAGCTCTATTATGCAAATACTTTATACAAATGAAAACCAGTGCTTTTTTCTACTTATGAAATACACCACACCCTTTGATGCCCAAAAAATAAATAAATAAAATCTAAAAAAGAATTTAACAAGTTAAACCATAAACCAGGAGAAAGTACATATAAACTCTTCCACCCATTTCACCGGGCTATGGTGGTACACACTTTTCATCCCAGCACTTGGGAGATAGAGGCGGGTGGATCTAAGTTCAAGGCTAGCCTGGTCTACAGAGTGAGTTCCAGGACAGTCAGAGCTACACAGAGAAAGCCTGTCTCGGGAAAAAAAAATCTTCCATTTTAATAAAATGACAATCCAATCTTGTAAAATGAGCAAGGGACCCTGACACTTCAAAGACAATGGACAAAAGGCAACTATGTGCATAAGGTACCTAACGTGATTATTAGACATATTCTTCAGCATAAAATCAAATGACATAATACTAAACAGAAGTGCAGACATGGAGGTGTCTGCCCAAACCTCCCAGAAACAATGTAGGGAATAAAACAGAAGAGATAAAATGGGAGAGGTTAGTGACACCTACAATCAATAAATGACTGGCTCCAATCTTTTGTTTTTATTATTTTATGTGTATAGGTAAATGTTTGCATGTACATCTGTGGCCTGGTGTCTGCAGAGCCAGGAGGGGAACATCAGGTCCCCTGCAGTTGGAGTTACAGGGGTCGTGAGCCGCCACCTGCTGGCACTGAACCTGAGTCCTCACAAGAGCAGTCGGTGCTGGCAGTAACTGTGCCACTTCTCCAGCTCCAGGTGGTGAACTTTCCCGTCCGGTCTAAGTGATAATACACTGAGCTCAAAAGCATATTTTTGGCATAATTCTATCCCTGACCTCCAGCACCTTACCTGGTTTAATTTTTCAGTGTGGTTCAGCTTTGAAGTCTCCACTGTATTAAATGTGGGCATCTTCTCCATGCTCAGTACTGGCTTTAGTGATTCCATATTTGAAGTGCGTTGGGAAAAGCGGGTCTTTGTTACTGGGAATCCAGTAGAATAATATGACCCCTGTTGCTTCATTCTAAATGGCTGAGTAAAAATTTTACCTTTTATGAAGAAAAGGAAAAACAGTGACTAGCAATTCCCCAGAGATTTTTAGAGAAAAAGACTATACTGTGAGCTAACAGCCTCAACTTAGAAGAAAAATTAAGGAAAACTGTATACAGTCAATAAAATTTACTATATAAGTGATTCATTTAAAAAAATACTAAGAAGTTATGTTCCTGAAAAGATTGTTACTCTCTAAAACTCCATGTTAGGTCTCCTGAATATGACTGAGAAGTAGCATTTTATAGGAAAAAAAACCTTTAAAACTGTATTTCAGGCTGGAGAGATAGTTCAGAGGTTAAGAGCACTGGCTGCTCTTCCAGAGGTCCTTAGTTCAATTCCCAGCATTCACATGGTGGCTCACAACCACCCATAATGAGACCTGGTGCCCGCTTCTGACCTGCAGGCATACGTGCAGTCAGAACACTGTATACATAATAAAATCTTTAAAAAATAAATAAATAAACTGTATTTCATTTCAAAGAGCTAACAGTGTCTAACTAAGAAGTTTACATAGAACTATGCTTCTCATGGTGGGTGACCACCTTCTAAAGAAAGGGAGGAGAAAACACTGTAAGGTTATGGTATAGTCCTACAATATAAGTTCTCATAAATATCGGGGAGTGTATTCTGTAGCACAGCATGTACCCCTAAAAAGCATCACAACTTAGTCCATTCTTTACCCCAAGATCAAGTTTACCAAACACACCAGTTACTCCTGAGATACTACCTGAAGATCTGGGAGATGAGCCATGGTTGGAAAACGTGAACAAGCCAATCACCAGGAAGGAATATCTACTTCTACTGTTCAGGAAATGTGTGCAAACTGTTTTACATAATTTTTTTTTTGGTCTCTTTTCTTCCAGTGCTGAAGGACAAACTCAGGGCCTTGTACATGCTAGGTAAGTGCTCTACCACCAAGTTACACACCCAACCCTTGTAAGTTTAATGGCAACTGAGTTTTCCTAAATCTGAGCCCCTGAATTACACTGATAAGGTTGACGTGCATACCCCCAACAGTTCCAGACAGGCAGAGCGAGCTAGCATGTACCCCCAACAGTTCCAGGACAGTCCATCACCCACCATTTTAAAGACTGCTTTGTAAATTCATGACACTCTCACGACTCACTTTGATCTAAATGCAGACTTTGGGGAAAGGGTCAATGAAAGAGGCATAAAACTCTCTGCACTAGGCTCCCTTCCCTGAGCAGTGTATGTTCTAAGGTCTGAGTGATCACATTACCCTTGAGCCCCACCTACCACATAGTATAAACTTAACAGCAGGCTCTCTACAGACCTTGTTTCATGTAAGGTCCTCAGTACAACTCTGAATCACACGTATTACATGTACTTTGGAGATGTGGAGACCAAGGCTTGCTTATGCAGATGAGCTAATCTGCCAATCATTATTCAACTTGCAAGTGAAACACAGATTTTAACTTTAACTCGTGAAGTTTAACCCTTCACTTCCCTTTCTATACATGTCAGGATTGTTCTAACATGTACTCATCCACAGAACAATCATTTCTAAAAAATATTTCATGTGTATGGGTATTTGGCCTGCAAGTGTGTCTATGTAACACATGCATGGTTGGTGCCCACAGAGGCCAGAAAAGGGATGAGACGGTCTGTACCCCGAGTTAGACAATTGTGAGTGCAGAGTGTGAATGCTGGGCCTCTGGAAGAGCAGCCAGCACTCTTATCTGCTGAGCCATCTCTCCAGCCCCACAATTATTTTCTCTAATTTCATCTTTTTTTAGAATTTCATAGATAAATACTGTATATCATTTCCACTTCGCCCTCTCCCCTCTAACTCTTCCCATGTCCTTCACCTCCCCGCCTCGTCCCACACACGTATGTATATAAATACAGCCTGCTGAGTTCACTTGGTGTTGCTCACATATAGATATATTTAGGACTGACGGATTGGGATTAGAAAATCCATCATAAACTGGGCAGTGGGTGGCACACATCTCTAATCCCAGCACTCAGGAGGCAGAGGCCGGTGGGTCTCTGAGAGTCAGCAGCCAGCCTGGTCTGCAGAGCAAGTTCCAGGTTAGTCAGAGCTGGTACAGAGGAACCCTGTCTCCAAAAAAAGAAAAAAGAGAACCCATCATACGGCTTGTCTCTGGATAAAACTGATTCTCTCTTAACTGCTTCGGGTGGAACCTTCTGAGCTGTTCCCCATCACACTGAGGTGTCAACTGCTGCTGCCTTTGTGCGGTTCTTTCTCAAGTGATCATATTTCTGAACGGGCATGGGCATGACCCAACTGTTAACGCCACCCCGCCGAGCTTACCTGCTGGCCAGCCTCTCTGCTTCTCCCCTGACGCACTCTTTTTTAGTGTCAGCAAGGAGCCGGCTCTGGTCTGCTCTACAGAAATGACGTCCGAAGCGGCACTGAGCACTTCAAACATGGAGAGGAATCCATACTGCATATACTGAAATGATCGTCCAAAACGCTTGGCAAACGCCTTCTCAAAGTCAGAAAGGAGAACAGGAGAAAACGCCAGTAGGTCTTTCAACTCACTCTTCACAAAGGCTGGGAGTATAGGGGGCACCCTTCCCCGGTATGGCACCGGGCCCGAGCAAACGCTGGTTCTTTCCTTCTGTACGGAGTTTCGGACCTTATGGCTTCTCCTCTGCTTTGCAACTAAACTTGCTATTCCTTTGGTGGATTCATCTGGAATGGCTAAGGAGACACGGGGGGAAAAAATCGCTTTCAGGTAAAAGCCATGCTCCACTTCTCCTTTGTAACTACAACTGAACAGGCAGTTTCTCTCTCCAAGGAGTTGTCTATGTAGGCAGCATGACACAAGGTTCTCGGTTCCACCATTTTTACATTCTGACCAACAGTTTCCTAACTCCTCTACCAGAAGACGCAGAGAGCCCACTGTGTTATTACTGTTAATTGACATCTGGAAGTTTTGAGACTATTAATGAAGACCAAACTTGCCTATAATGACATTTTTGTGTCTCATAAAATTTAAACTGAGTTTTAGAAATTTCAAAACCAGTAATCTGAAATTGTTCAAATATAGTTTTGTGACTATTCATTTTTCTGGAGCATGTGAATTTGGGGGTGGTGGTGGTGTTTTGCTTTTCCTTTGCTCTCTCTTTGCCCATAACCTCAAAGAGGTGCTAAAGACCACCACCCGATGACATCCACCACCCTGGACTATGGGATTAACTGGACAGTTAGAACAACTCTATACTGAATAATATCTTTTAATTATAAAGCTTATAGAATTTCCAAACTCTTAAACGTACCTTTCAGTATTACGGTACCATCCCCACAGGGGCAGACACTAACCACATCAGGCATATCCAACACCAGTTCCATAGTGGACCGATATCCAAGGATTCGGAGCGGCAGATGGTTCCCAACCATCAAAAGGTACTCCTTCTCCAACTGTTGTGGGGTCAGACCATCTTTAGTGGAAATAAGAAGTGACCTTATCTCTTTCCTCAGACAGTCCTGTATACGCTCTTGTTCAGACATTGTGCTAGAGCATTTAAGGAGGAAAAAAAAAAGCTTTTGAGAGAAAGTGGTCAAACCCATGGCAGAAAAATAAACAAAAAAGCCCTTTAACAACCAGCCAGAAAATATAAAAAAATTAGTTGTGAAATTTATAGATCATAAGACTGAGACAATACCGTAAGAGCTTTCACGAGCCTTTCTGCCACAATCCCTACAAACCCCAAAGCCCAGCTTTTATGGAGGAAGGCACTTTCCCAATCATTGATTGCCAAAGGCTGGCGTGATGTCTCAGCTGGGCAGGGCTAATTACTGTGCTTGCCCAAGGACGTCTCAAGCTCCCCAAGGGGTCTCATTCCCCACTGCAACTCAGTGTGGGCTGGAACCTCTTTGGGAACCAAGGGTACTAGGCCGCGATGCAGGAGCAAGCAGGAGAAGCGGGAACCGACCGCAGGCCGTCCAGTTCACGTGGCTCCACACGAGCGGCCGCCGTCCCTCACCTCCCCAGCTGGTCCTCCTGCCTGTCCCCTCGGCCTTCCCGTGACCCAAGACGGGAAGGCGTGCGGAGGGCGGCGGTAGCGCATCCCTCTGCGGCCCGCCACTACCTGTCTGCCGCTCGCCCACACCAGCGCTGCCGTTGCGCGCCGCCCAAGTCCGGGATGCTCCGGGAGGGCCACGGAGGAGCAGAGCCGGCCAGGGTGTCGCGCGCCTGCGCACCACGGGCCGTCGGACCCCCCCGAGCGCCGCGTTCCACGCGAGAGGGCGCGGCCGGTGTGACGGTTAGCGCAGACCGGCATGCGTGTGTGGCAGTGGCCGCTCTCACCCTCCAGGGTGGTGCTGCCGGCTGCCGCACCCATCGCCTATGAAGCCGTGGGAAGACGCAGGTGTGGAAGACGCAGGTGTGGACGCTGCACCGCCCCATCCCCGTGCGCGCAGGGTCTTCCTGCCCGCGGGCACCTGCGGGAGGCCGGAACGGCTGCAGAGGCACCTGCGGATTTGGCTAAACCGGGACAGGTGGCCCTCTATCCCGCCGCATCAAACCTGAAGATGTGCTCGGTCCGAAGGTCTGCGATTATTTGAAGGAAAATTAAGAGCGAGTCTGGTTCTGGCTTGAAAATCGCTGCTGAGCTGAATGTGACCTTGACTTCTAGAATGGGTGCGTGGGAGGGCTTTTGGTATGAAGAACATTCCCGGGGCGCAATGGAAATAAGAGAACTGGGAGACTAAAGAAGATAAGATTTGTTGCAAGTAGCTCGGCGGTGGTGGTTGTTGGTGCGTACCTTTAATCCCAGCACTTGGGAGGCAGACGCAGGTGAATCTCTGTGAGTTCGAGGCCAGCCTGGTCTACAGAGCTAGTTCCAGGACAGCCAGGACTGTTACATAGAGAAACCCTGTCTCAAAAAAGCCAGAAACCAAAACAACAACAAAAAACAAACACAAAAAACTCGCAACGTCGGGTATGAATACCTTCCCTTTAACAATATGCAATCTTAAATGACCAAACTAAAAGAGTCAAAGAATTCAAATTAAGAGACCGGAAGCTGGGTGAAGTGATGCACACCCTGCACTTGGACAATGGAGAGAGGAAAAATTCCAGTTGGAGACCGGCTTTGTTGTATAAAAGGAGTGTGATAGGGAAGTACACATACACACACCTTCTGCCCAAAGTTCCTAAGTGATTATTCCAAGAGAACAAAATGTGCCATCAATGAATGAGGAATATTAAAGAATCCCTTCAAAACAAAGTAGGAAAGATTTATATATTCAGTTGACAGTAGAGGAGTTGCTGATTAGTAAATTAACAGAAAATTCTGAGATGAAAAATGGTCCCAAACCGGGCAGTAATTATGCATGCCTTTAATCCCAGCACTCAGGAAGCAGAAGCAGGCGAATCTCTGTGAGTTCGAGGCCAGCCTGGTCTACTGGAGATAGTTCCAGGACAGCCAGGGCTGTTATGCAGAGAAACCTTGTCTCAAAAAATGGAGATAAATATTGCAACATTTCAAGACGAGTTTTAGAAGAAACATATCTTCATATTTTAAGGGCCCATCAAGACCTCAGAATAACAAAAATATCCCTTCTTAGACAAAGCCTAAGAGAAAAAGAATCGAGATTTTAGGTAGAAACAGCTGTAAGTCAATGGAAATTAGACTGCCATTCAAGCAAAATCTACCCAGCTGAGATATCCTTTTACCTTGGCTAATCAACTTAAAATGTTTTCATAAAAGATTCAGAAAATAACTGCAATGAGCATGGAACCAGATTCCTCTGAATGAACAAAGAAAGGGGAATCTGTAGTACAGACAGAGCAGGAAATTTATAGAATAAGAATGAATGCAACTGGGTGTAATGTAAAAGCATTTCTTCTTGTGTGTGGTGTGGAAAATTACTAAAGTGAAATATTAAGAGAACATTTGCCCACTTGAAGGCTGCCACACCCATCTGGCCCTGCCAGATGAGGAGGCTGCACCCAGCAACCGTGGTAACGAAATAATCTTGCCACACAAGTGGGACCCCCACCCTTCTGTGACCAGTCGATACTGATAACCTAGAACACCTGGTTATCGGAAGGATCAAGCAAGGGGCAGTTTCGAACTGACTTAAAAGAGGGGGCTGAAGCAGGACGGTTATCTCACTTCTCACAATGGCTCAGGTATCTGGCCTCGTGGAAAGAGAGATCCTTCAAGCCTGCCTCCCGAAAAGCAGAAATATTAAATGCCTTGCCTAAACATTTAATGCTCTGTCTCCAGAGTACAGAGCTTCATATCCCGAAAACAGACATTTAACGCCTTGCATCCCGAATGCAAAGTCTCATTTCCCGAGAGTGGACATTGAAGGTCTGTCTCCCGAGAACAGACAAGATACTCTGCCTTTCAGAACGCTTTGCCATCCCAAGAGCAAGGCTTCGTCTTCTAAGCAGACAGAACGCTTTGCCATCCTGGGAGTAAAGCTTCGTCTTCGAGAGTAGAGAAATAAAAGCCTTGTCTCCCAAGACTCGGTCACCCGAAAAGCCGAGTCCCAAGGCCCTACATTCTGAGATAGACTAGCACCAGGCCAGAGACTACGCAGTCAAGGATTGATCCAACACCAGATACCAGCCTGGAACAGGACATCGGAACCTTATCTCCCGATCGCAGACTATGGGGTCAAGAGTAGAGCCTCGCTATCCAGCCCCCAGTGCGGTCAGGCGTCCAGCCTGAAGAAATTCAAAAAGTCTTTTAAGCTGAAGAATACCAGGTTGTATGATACTATTTCATGCATGTATGAGATGTTAAGAGAAGAGCATAGATGTGTTAATATATATGTTTAGTGTGTGAAATGTTAAGAGATATCTTATGGATAATTGATAAGACTAGGAAATGTTAATGGATAAGTTACGGTTAAGAAGTGTTTTATAGATAAGTAATAGATAAGTTGTATTAAAGTTAAGAAGTGTTTTATGGATGGGTGATAAGTTAGATTAAGGTTATGAATTGGTTTTATTAGGTTCAGTAGGATTAATAATTGTGATATTGAATTGCCTGTGTGTTGCCCATTATCAATCCCCCATGCCTATTAAGATTGTAAACCCCATTGATGTATTGGATATTGAAGTTGCTAGTAAAGAATCATTATAAAATAATTCTCTTGCTTGGTCTGGTCACTCATCGCTCTCTGGGGAGAAGGGCACAGAGTCCTCATAGATCTCACTCGAAAAGAACCTGAAGCTGAAGTCTCCCAGCTTGTAACAATAACTCACTGAATGACTTCTAAAAAATGATCAGTGAATGAAGATGGACTCTTAAAAGAAACCCCACACTAGCTCAGAACTGAGTATAATAGAGGGTTATTTATTTAGGGGTAGACTCACAGATTACAATCCTCTGTTCTAACAGGGAACGGCAACCGAATCCCACAGATGGAAGAGAGGCTAGATGCATGCTTTACATCAGCATATATAGTATAAGAGGCCATGCCTAAGCGGGTGGGTAACTTAAAGGCTGCTGGCTGTAGAAATTCCTGCAGCATCTCCCCCTTTTGTTTAAATAAAGTTCTAAGCCTCTTATAAAATTATATACAATTAGAACAAACATCAGGTATAAAAATTAGAACTACAACAGCATAAACAATATCAAGCAAGAAACATAAATGTTTCAATAATTATCCTATTCTAAGGAGTTTAAGTCTTGTATAATAAATAACTTGGCCAAGTCATGAGAGGAAAGTAATTACAACTATCTAGTCTACAACCCCGTTGAAGACCCAAGAAGGGAAATAATACCACTTGAGTAATCAGGAAGAACAATCAAGCAACTTCCAAAATGTGCAACAAATGACAGAGACAACTTGCTACCTGGGCAATCACCCAAACTCTCATTTGCAACGTTGGAGCAACCAACTTTGGCTAAGATCTAGAGTAACTGATAGACCATTTTCAGAGGCAGGAAATTTTTCAAAACCATCATACTCTGTCTTGGTAAGATTTGACAGTCTTTTTTCTTGTATCCTGTTTGTCCTATCTGGACATCATGCATTTTGTCAATGATTGATGGATGGGCAGTTCCTTGCCCAAAGGCCAGTTTGCCAAGAAGAAAAAAAGCTCCAAGTGGAGTGTCTTTGGTGCTCAACATTCTCTCGGGAATAGATGGGTGTGACCAGGAGCAATCGTGTCTCATGGCAACAGAACCCTAAGTTATTTAAATGCCATATTCTCTAGCTCTTTGAAGTGGTTGAAGATTACCTATCTATGCAGAATATAATCTTTGTATCTAAAGAACCTGATTAGCATAACTATATGACAAATATGAATGACTATTGACCTATAATTCTTAATACCTATATAACTTAAAGACTAAGACTTCATATTAGAATATTAAACAATCTTTAAACAACTGTGAAACAAATGAGGACAATGACCTCAAAATGTAAACAATGTATAATTTAAGTTTGTATCAATATACAAGAATCTATACCAATGTAAATAATAGCTCACAAGTATTCACTCTATTACTATTATTATTAGTTCACACTAATCTATTATCTCATCCAATTTCTCCCATTTTTTTCCAAAGAGATCCCGGAGCTTACATAATTTTCCCCCAACCCCCAACCCTATAACAATTATAATAAACCCCTAAATGATGTCCCTAACCCTGAGGACAAAGTTTGTTGGGAGAGGGGACATCGTCTTCTAGAATTACTTCCAGCAGCCATGGGGGAGACTGGATGCTAGAACAGCAGGCGCATGCAGGAACCTTCTCCTAGGCGGTAGCTGCATGGGTCCCTCAGGTTCTGCCACTTGCGCTGCATCTTGGGTATGCAGAGCCAGAGACCACTGCCTCCTTGCAAAGCTCTGCTCCAGCGCCTTCTGACCTGAGCCTCGCTTGCTCTGGGTTCAGACTAGCGCAGGGAGTGGAGTGGGACTCACCACTCTGGAACCGAGGAAGGGGCCCAAGCTCTCTCTCTCGGCCCACCAATCTTCAGCAATCATTTAGGGTACAGGGAATTTGGGTGTAGCTTTCTCTCCAGACTACTTCCTGCAGTTAGTTGGGTGAAGTATCTTTTGGGGTATTCACAACACTTCAGGGGGTTTTGGTGAATCAAACCACGTTAGCATGGAATGAATCCACAGGTTCTCATCCTCTGTGGAGACAAAAGCAGAACCTCTTTTCCAAGCAACAAATCTTTATATCCATATCCCAGA